CTGAGTCTTTGTTTCGAGCTTTGATATGAGCATCAATATTCAGACTAGTCTTTTGTAGTGGTGGCTGAGACTTGATACCGTTGTCCATCGGCACACTTTTGCTGCCGTATCGAAAGACTTTCTGTTGACGTCAAAGATAACGTGAAAATACCAGCTACGCTATCCCAAAGTCCACTGTTTTTTTTTTATAGCATTGCTTGCCATTAGTCATTATTCGTTACAATGATTATCACAACACAATGTTGACTTGTAAAATTAGGTCCTTCGTCGTTCAACAAGCTTAGGCCGTCAGAAAATATTGCCGATTTTTCTTAGCTTTCTACGACTAGTGTACTCACTAACAAACGAACAACAGTGTCATACGCCTAATCTGGTTATTTTTATAATGCTACCAAATTTTATATCTGACTAAAAAAGCAAAAATAGCGGTGATGTCTTGAAATTTGTATCTGCTATGAAATTTATGATTTCGTCGATGTGTTCCATTTCTACGTAAGGTACCACAGACTCAACAGATACATGCAGTAGCATGTACAATTATGTTGCATATACCTTTGTCATGTTGTGCCCAGCGACTGAAAGCCTTAAGCATTTACGCACCATTGGGTGCAATGTGTAATTCTAAAACGTTAACTGACGATTTTGTTTGCGACAAAAACTTGCCACGAGCCGTCGTCGCTCCTGAAGGAGAATCTCTGATGAGGTAGTTGATTAATGCTGAATGCTGCGGTACTCAAACATAAGTTTTGGTTAGGTGGCTACTGAGCAGCCGTACTTGGTGACAGAAATTTCCGCACTTTTGTGGCGCTAAATAACTTTCATGAATGCATATGTAGTAAGAAATCTCCTCACATATGCCTCACATCACGTTGGGCAAAAGATATGATATGATTTCTCAATAAATAGTCTATACAATAAACGGCATGATAACGGTGGGGTCGAATCGGTATGTTTAGACTTGGTGAGGAACAAAATTCATCGTTCGTCCAGATAAGCTCGTCACAGAGAACACTCGCTAAATTTTGAATACGACGAGTCGGCAGGATATCATCGCTGAAAAGATATCGACACGAGCCCGACCACGGGTATTCTTCCTGGGTAGAGGGGCAGGAAGTAGATCTGGTTTCTGATGCCAAATGCTGCCTCGCGTATCAATAAATCGTACCAAAAAATTATTGACGCGCTCTCCCATGCAAAGCCCAAAGCGGGTATGGTAGATGGTAAAAATCTTCTCGCTTAGCGCCAGACTTCTCCTAGTAAAGGCTGATGGCATGTGGTTTATTGCGCATACTTAACAAGAGTTAAAGAGGTCGCAATTCTAATGCAAACGTCAATTTCTAATATCGATGCTGCCGAAATGCACACCTTATTCATTGCGTTTACCTAGCTAACAATTAATCTCAAATACTCGTAGAGACTGTAAGGATCCTCTCACTGTCGTGAATAAACCGAGAGGGATACTTTAAACCGGCGAAATATGCTTTTCAAATAAACGCTAACGAAGTGTATGCGGCGATATAGATACTACAAAAATCAAATTCACTGATATATGTCGTCGGAGATGTTTTGTGTTTGCCACAGGTTTTGCCAGTTAGAGTCTGGTAGGAATGAGTATCAGAGTCTCATCAGCTTAGACAGGAAGTCTAACGATGGAATTTTTACCATGGGCTACTTGTCAAAAGTAAAAGTGTGTCTTTGTTAACTTTTGAAGATATCGAAATCAATCACAATCTACATGAATCATGCATCAATGCGTATTCTCCAAAAAATGAAAAGATTGTTTTTTTCTTTACCAAGTGTATATTACAATTTATGCCGACTTGTTGTGGCAGTGGATGCGCTTTGGTCTCGTTCAGACTTTAGAATATTGGATGTAACCATGATGGCGTCATTTATTAATGAGATGGTACGTTGACCATACGGGTCGGGTCAGCTGCTGTACTAATGATATTAGTAGCTATACGACGACCGATTCGTGCAAGAATTTAAAAATATTTTACCTTGTACAATGTGGTGGCTTTTGTATAAGAACTGTTTTATCTATAAGAAGGAAACGCGAGTAGAACGAAATTGTTCTTGAGAACAACAAGTTATTCTTGTAAAGCTTATGTCATCGTTGATCCCGAAATGGTCAGTGAAATGACGGTCCAACGGGAACAAGCGGGAACCGCTCGCCTGACGACATTTACCAGTCATTAGAATGCACTGGTGATACACCTTCTTGGACATCCCAACCAGGTGTCGGTGAAAGCGCAGATAGCACTCGCCGTGAGGCTGTTTATGTTGAGCGCTCACCCTTTGCCAGCACGATTTGCTGGCACCAGTTTAAACATGACATGCGCTGACCATCCGGTGAAAAGATGGTAATGACAAACGCGATAATAACAAGTGTGAGAATGCTTTCAAAGCGCTAGCGCTGATAGATCGTAGTGCTAAAGCAATCTACTTGAATAAAATCATCTTGTGTGATCAATGCAATGCATGCCTTTACAGGCCCCGCCTTAGTCCTCAATTGGTTCAAGTAAATCTGTTCTCGTTTTATACCTCCACGAAGTAGCTCCGGTCATAGTGAGGAAGAATTGTTAATTCGACATGCTTACCAACATCATCCCGGTTACACTTCGTAGCGAAATCGAACATTAGACCACGAAGGGTTGCGACGCTATGGCTTTCAGCCATAGTGTCAAGAAGCAACAGAAGCAAACAACGCGCACTTAGATAGAAAGGGTAGGAGAAAATTATCGAGTACATTTGACTTACCTACAATTGCAGTGTTTGCTGTCTATAGACTAAGCAACATTCATGCTACACTGGATATTTTATTTTACGTCGAGGCAAAAAAGTTTGCGCTTTACTCTCAGCATTCGGAAGAGGTTATAAGCATAACCTGCATCCAATGTGCGTCTACTGAGGCCATCTTACGATCCCACTTTTACGAGACAGTCATATGTAAAACGCTTCATTGTATTTAAAACCATGTCGTCATCATTCTTTATGGCTAACTTCCATGTTGCCCACCCAATCAGCTGAGGTATTTGTGTGATGGCAAAGCGCAAAAAGCGCGTCCGAAAAATAAACAATCTCAGCTTCAGACGCACGCCGAGAGTCTTGATCGATATTCACTAGCGCTGCTCGGTGAGCGCAGAGTGGCTCACTTGCATGTAGTAGTACGGTAGGTTCCCCAAGGCTGTATTCAGCTCTGACGATTTAAAAGAAAATTTTTGACTTTATAAGCTCATGGGAGTTCTAATTTCAGGCGATATTGTCGCATACAATCTGCCGCGCCCTTTTCAGTTATTCCAGAAAAGTGGGTCGGTATACCGTTGCAGCGCGCTCCAAAATTCGATAAAGAATAAACCTCATTGTAAGCTTCTCATGTGAACGATAGCTGCTATAGCTGTCTCATAGGACGGGCAGGGCTGTTTAATAGCAACACCTGACTATGGTGAGTATTTC